AGGAGAAGAAGAAGAAGATGAAAGAACTGTCGAACCTGATAGCTAAACCCTATCAGTCGACCTCTTAATAGTGATTAGGCTCTTAAATGTACAAGGACTAAACTGCCCCTACTTAAGTATGGGAGTTGACTAATCTACCCTTATTCGGCTAACTCTAACATAGGCGATCCACTTGTAGAGTCATACTTTGTTCCTCTCATGTACACTCCTCTTTTATCTTCATCAGTTCCGTTACTCTCTCAAACAAAATATTTATTAATAGCAAATTTTAGAGGCCATAGCTTACATAAATATCAACATAACTGGAAATTATGCAACTAATGAATTCATTCCACCTGCAACTAAATGATATAACCAAGCCATTTCTTCCCCCACAACCTCCAATCAGCAATCTGAAATGGAGTATTACTCTTCAAGGGTCAAGAAGAAGATTTATCAACCTCGTGGCTGTACCAAATGCATCATATACACGCATCCTGTTAGAACTTGGTGAGTGAATGATTACTAATGATCTCCTAGGCCAAAAACGTTTCCAATAAAAAAAATATTACAATTAGGAAATCTTAACAACCCAACCTACAGTTTCTGGGTCATCTGCCTTCTCTTTTTTAGTCAGCTAAAAAATTTGCTTGCATCAGATGTTACAGTCATCAATAGATCAGCTTTCACAGAGGTAGTTCCTCATTCCAGACCCACAGAATGGCAGCCCTCAAAACCCCATGTGCAACACATACATAAACAAGGAAGAAAATCACCTATAGATTCCATACTCAAATAGTTCTAGGAATTACATCTCCAATGAGTGCATATGATACTGTACCTCATGATATGTACGAGGAGAATCAACAACCATGCTCTTAACCTGAAAATTAGTAACATTAAGAATCAGGATCAAGAGATAAATTATTACCAAACAAAGCTAATTTGGGAACTTGGAAATGTATCATTGAAAAAGAAAAGGCAAATACACATGAAAGTCAATTATTAAGAACAAGTTTACCTTCTCATTAAAATAATCTTGCACAACGGATAGAGTTTGACCCATTGCCTTGTGCAAAATAATGGGAACTGCCCCATCCACACCCTCATCTGCAGCAAGAGCTGCAGATTTTGCATGTTCCATTATGTCTTTCCAGGTGGAAAGTAGGCCCTCCAAGTCCTTCTGCAACTCCTCCAAGGAATGGCCGGCAGCAACAGTTCTTACAGTCAAACCAAAACCAGGAGGCTGCAAAGTCTTTGCAATTACTCTTAAGCGTGTACGTTCAACACCAGAAATTTTTTTTGAGACACCAATTCTATCACAGCGAGTGCTCAATATCTGCAATTCAGAGAAAAGGAGTGAGTGAGTGAGTGAGTGAGTGAGTGAGTAAGTGAGTGAGCACATCAAGATCATAACAGCATAACATACCCAGAATCTGCTCCTTAGATTTGGATAAGCAGTCAACGCAGGACCTTTTGTCCCCAAACCCTCCTTAACAACTTGTACAATTATTTTAGTGCCCTTCCTAACATGGGTCCATTTGTTTTCACCAGGATGTGCATCCTCAGAGTCCTGCATATCCTGTAAGATATGATGGGATAGCTGAGTATCATTAAGATCTTCTGTTTCAACAGGAAGGAATTCAACAACAGTCTTGTCTTCTACATAATGCCCATTTATATCGAAGTGGTCTTCTAAATTGGCTTTTCCCTCATCATAACCAATTATACCACCATTAAGATTCTGCTGAAGAGCATCTGGGACAACGAAATCACCCTCAACTTCATTTTCTTCAAAATCAACATGCATAAAGTGTGCCTGGTCTTCATGAAGATCAATCTCTGAGAAATCATAACTTAGATCAATGTCACCATGTGAAACTGGTTCACTCTCATGAGCATCAACCTCTTCTTGAAGCTCATTGACCACGAAGTCATCAAATTGTTTCTCCTTAGTTTTAGAACGGAATGGGGGAAACACAAATGGTTCCCTATTCTGCTTAATGTCCATGAGTGAAGGTCTGGAAATGCCAATATTTACAAAAGCACCACCCATGTGAGGAACAAGTTTTGTGATCACTCCAAGATAAACATTATCACATTGCACATTATTTTTTACTGGTTCCAGTAATAACTCAACCAATTTCCCATCTTCCAAGACAGCAATCCTTTGCATGGTACATATTGAAGAGTTAATCAATATAATAGTGTTAACAGACTCAATGCAGGCTAGTTTACCTAATAACTTTGCTGTATCTTGATAAGCCTTATCAGGAAATTCCAGTTGAGTTATCATATCCTGATCAGATTCCTTGGGCATAGAAGATTCCACCTCACCTTTAAAATCAAGGGAAATGAGAGAATATTGGAGTAGCCATGGTTCCTCAATAGGGTTGTCTCTGTCAGAAGTTCTTTCACCAGAATCTGATCCATTAACACCATTATTAAGTGTGCAATCCTTTTCAACAGAATGAAACTCATCCTCAGCTGTAACATCAATTGAGAACTCCTTTCTCCCTAAAGAATCACTTTTAGGACTTTCTAAAATCCCATATTCATCTGTCAAACCACTGGAAGCATTTAAGTGTTCAGCAACATAAGAACAGGTGAAGTTACAGAAGGAAAAAGACCATTATGGAATAATTACCCCCAGCAGCAGATGATGTTATGGAATGTGCAGGAAGGCACGCTTCCCCAATCCATGATCCCCATGAGTGCATAGGAGGGATTCCCATCCGAGCCGTCACCCATGAATCTCTCACCAGAATTTGATTGTGAGTTACAGGCACTGATAGGGAAAACTCAGGCCCAGGTCTCCAAACAAGATCAGAGGAAGGCCATTTATCTCCTCTTATGAAATAATTGTACTTGAAATTCATTCCACAAGGTACCTGCCAAAGTTAAGTAGTTTAAAGATAAACTTAACAGAAAGCCAATTAGCTTGAGTACATTCTCCAAACATAAGGTAGATCAGGTTGTTAATGCATCCACCTATATAGGAGTCCATTCATATACAAGAGCTCTCTAAAAGAATGAAATACTCATGCATTTTGTTGTAGTGGTAAGAGAATATTGCTAAGCTACTTAGCTACTTAGCAATGTAACCAAGGTTCAAAGTATCAATACAATGTGCCCTGTATCGGGCGTATCATATTGTATCGTTAGGGTTCTGATACACCTGTTTAAAGGTGTTTTCAGGAAATCATTATTTTATTTATTAAATAATATAAAACATCTATAAAAAATGAAATTTTGAAAAAAAAAATAAAAAAGATAAAACACGCATGGTTTAAAGTGCCAATACACCCCTGCCGATACATTTGGGTGTATTGATACTTTAAACCTAGAATGTAACATTCTACCTTTCTCCATTGAAGTTCAAACATTTTATATCCTTGATAATCAATATAAAAGCGTAACTAACTAAATACATTATCATGAAATTATAATATTCAGTGTTTAGGAAACCAGACCAGACCAGCTGGTCGGACTAGTTAAACTGTGACCCGGTACCTTGGTCGGTTCGGTCATACCTTAATAATCGTTTTTGCTAAAATGTGGTGAAAACCAGCTGACCGGTCAGTTTAACCGGATAACCAGTGAACCAGTCCCGGTTTCATGAAACTGCCCAGGTCCTTAAACAATTAAAATTTTAAAATGTGATTAACAAGATTTGAACCCATGACCTCTTGTTTTTATCTATTGCTTAATTACCATCCACCTCTTTACTTGTGTTAATTAATGACTTTATTGTGCATTTTACTTTATTACGCACGTATTTTAAAGAAAATGTAAATTACAAGACTTGAACCCTAGTCATTTGCTTTAAAAATTAAAGAACTTGCCATCCATCCATGATCCACCATATATAAATATATTAAAAGTTGTAAAATATGTTATATGTAGTATTTGTATGACCCATAGTATATATATGTATATGTTCGACCCCACTTGAACCTCTGACCCATGAACCTCTCCCTTCTCCGGCTCTATGCCTGGTCCAGTTCTCTGAACATTGATAATACTTGCTATTCTAATTTTTTGAATAATGTTATTAGGTTACTACCTTTACTTCAGTCTTCCACAAGTTAGCATGTTCACTAGAAGGAGACATGAGAACAGCCATCTCTGGCTCCCAGCAACCCAAGACAATTGGATCTCCAGTTATGTACAAAAGCTCACCATCTTCTAAATCAGCTTCGATGGTCCAAAGCACCTTGCATAGTTCTTGAGAGGTTGTAGCTGAATTCCCTGAAAAACCAGGATCTTCAAGATATATCAATCATTATAGCGTAGATGAAAGATTTTTCTAAAATGATAATGTGACAGCTTCAGTAGAAGTTCTAAAAAGAATTATACTACCAGATTTAAATACTTAGTTGACAACAAAAAAGAATTTTCCCTTCTAGCAGGTTATATGATACTAGAAAACAAAAATAAGAGCCACTGAAAGACTACTTAAAAAGTACATTGAATTGGAAAATGGCAACGCTTCCCTCCTAAAGTCACATGATGATACCATGTGATTTAAAAGCCAGGTATGATCAGATGGTTGAATGGTCCAGACCATCAACCATTCCTGGAATATAATTCAACCCCACTAGTCCCTTGATCAAATGCCCCATTCTTTTCATATAAACTATTTAAAATTATCTAAATTTTGACTTTTTATCAGTAACTGACAAATGGTGCACAATTATCCTGGTAACCTAGGTTGGTTTCAACCACCTGACACTACACTTACATTCTTCAGTCCTATGGAAACAACTTCCCAAAACAGATTGTTTCTTTGTACCCCCTGTCTAGCCAATGCATCAGCCAGGCTATTGGCTTATCATGGTACCCATGTAAATGTTGCATCCAACATCCTTGCTAGTCTTCTCACTTCACAGTATAGCAGTACTGCCAAGTTCCTGTATTGTCATTTATGAACCAGCACACTACCACCTTAAAGTCTCCTTCAACCACTACCCTTCTATATTTCAGAGAGGGCACCAATCTTAATCCTTGCCAAAGTACTAACAACTCTGCCCTTGTATAACCTCCTGTCCAATTGACCCTGAGAATATTCAATCTGTCCCTGATCATTCCTAAATACTCCTCCAATTCCTGATTTACCTGGATTTCCCAAACTACATTGATCAAAATCAAAATTTAATTTGATGAGTTGTGATGCAAGAGTCATATCCAACTAATGCTGATATTATTTCTAGCCGTGGAAAACGTTGCAATGTTTTTCCCATGTGCCTTCCTCCAATAATATCATCCATAGCGTAATGTTAAAAGAAGTCCAAGGTTTTCACCCAGTGAACTTTATATTATTTATTTATTTGTCCTTTTCTATTTCCTTTATTTTTTTTCTCAAGGCTGTATTTATTTCAAGCAGAAATGGACTGGGTGTAAATTTAGCATCTAGTTCATATTTTCTTTTGTTTGTTTTGCACATTTGGGAATCAAGCTTTACATTGGAGTTGGGACCACATTATTTTCATCTCCATGGGGTGTAAAATTTGCATCCCAAAAAGAGATATGAAATTTTGTTCCCCTTCTTATTCTCTTCCATATAGAATCAGGACTGTGTCATTTTACTTCCCTCCAAGCAAATAATGAGAAATAATATATCACGATAGACATAGGATATCAATGTTGTAAGTGGAAACTGCAGTTGGAAACAGGAAAAGTGATAAACCAAACTGTTCTGATAAGTTTTTCCAAGGCGAAAACTTAGGAATTTTTTTCTTAAACATTATGAAGATGTAGTTTTTAGATACAAGATTGAAGACTCTCTTCCTTGGCCATTTAGACATAAGATGTTCAACGTAGGGACACATTATACTTGTATCCAGATGTGCAATAACAAGTGGGGAAAAATTATAATACCTTTTCTCAAAGACTTTATAGGTGTTTTCATCAGACAATTATGAACCTTTATATGTAGAGTGATCTTGAATGCAGTGCGTGAGGGCAACTGACGGCATATATACCTGCCCAAATAAAGAATGCATAAGAACACAACCATGAGTTACATGATCTTTTTCTTGGGGGAGGGGGTTGAAGAAAGAGCATAAAAGAATATGTAAGCCATGTTTAAGTATTAGCAAAATATATACAAGCATCAATCTTACAAACACACACATATACACATATGTTTATGTATATGTATATGTATTTGGAAAAGAATGTCGAACGACCAAGGAATCTTCAATGTGGAAAATTAGTTTGAGGCCCAAAATGGCCCCACGTATTTATCTCTGTATATATCAAAGCTTCAATTTGCAATATTTTTTCACTGTCAAGCACCCTGACCATCAAGGCTGGACGCAGCATTTAGGTCCAGTTGGCAACAGTGTGAAGTTCTCCATTGTTCACATGGGAGGCAAAGTCTCAATGAAGCTTAATGTTGATTCTCAGTAGCAGAGTGAGTGACGCCTAACAGTATTCTTTCAATTTCTAGATGAGCCCTTGAAACAGAGAACGATATAAAAATGCACTAATGGCAAGTAGCTGCAAACTGAAAATTCAAAATAAACTGTCCATTGTGGTAATGATTTTGTTAAGCTATTACAAAAACGAACTGTACAGTGTGAACTCTCTTAATTTTGGCCTTTTCACCCCTAGCTTTCAAATGAAATTGAATAAAAAAAAGGGAAGGGGGAAAAGGTGAGCATAAACCTAAAGCATAATAACATGAATTCATTAAGTTTAACGAACACAAAAATTAAAGCAGGGGAAAAGGACAAAATGAATTTTTGTGAACCAAAGAAGAGAAACTTGTAATTCAAGATAATATATATATATATATATTGCAGTGAAAAACAAAACAGTAGAAATCATTACAGCAAGTAGGGAAAAATAAAGAGAACAACTACAAGATTTCAATACCAGGTTAAATATAGCAATGGAAGTTTTCCATTTCGACCAAGTCACTCAGAAAGTGCTACTGAAGAATCCGAAGCACCGTAATTTTACAAAACAACTTGAATAAGCATAAGCTCTACAAAGAAGACCAAGTTGAAAAAACTCGGTAAAACCCAGAATTTAATCGAAGTAACTAAAAACTAGGATAAGGAAGAAATCCCAACACAAATTTCCTTTTATTTTTCTGGATAAATCATATCGCAAGAAATAATAAAAGAACATCTACAGAGGAAAGAAGAAAGATAGCTCAGTCCAAACCATTTACAAATGRGAAAATTTGAAGCCTCAAGCCAGAAGATGTAGTAATGAGGATAAACTTACGGCAACAAAACAGACGAGCAAAAGACACCTCGTCGGCCGAGCATAAAAAGCCGAGGACGAATTTCACAGACTTCCATCGGGAAGTTTTGAAGCTCAGGCGAGCATAGAATGCAAATTGAACCTACCATGAAATATGGCTTCAAGTTTCATGGCGGATAGTGTAAATTAGAGGTAGCTGGGTTTTATTTCAAGGATTTGTACGAAAACCAGTATGGATAGATTTTGTGCTGAAAGAAGATATAGCCATATAGAAGCAGAGAACGTCCTCATTCCTCAATAGTTTTGTAGCCTAAACAGGAGTTCGAATCCCCTACGGTTCTACTCGTAATATTGGGTCAATAAGATATACGCGTACCTAATACGTGCGTTCCAAACTTGGAAATGACGTGGCATTTTTTATGATTGGTATTTGGTAATGTATTATTCATCAAGTAGACTTCCAATTGAATTCGCTTGGAAAATATTGTCTAATTTTGATTATTCCACTTGGTTAAGAAACAGTAAGAAAAATTTTGAAAATAACAGATAATCGTGGATTATCTTTTAATACTCTTCCACCTGTAAGTGGGTTTTTATGTGGCCTAGGGGAAGTAAAAAATCTGTTTAGTGCAAAAGCTAAAAATGGGATTTTACATAAAAAATGAAAAAACCATGAAAAATTCATGAAAAAAGAATGTTGAAATTGAAAATTTGGCTTGGTTTGGCCTTAAAAATGATTTGATTTGGTTTGAGATTTCTCTATAATTTCTTTTTTTGTTTGGTCCAATTTTCTAAATTTTAGGAATCAGATCAAATTATATAGTATACACATAATATATATGTAATTTGATTAGTAAAATTAATGCATGCATAGTATTTGTTACTTTTTATTATTAATTTTTTGGGCTTTTATAGGTCAATCCACCCCTATGAATCTAGAGCTCCACTCAGGGGTGGATTGAATCCTAACCATGGATTGATGCCAAATCGATGGACAGGATGCGGTTTATAGGGGGGCTACTAGTAGACTAGGAGAGGACTGCAATTCAGATTTTCTGAGGGGGATTGCAGTCCAAAAATCCCTCAATTTTATTAATTTCTTAATTTATAACAATTTCTAGATAAAAGTTGCTTAAGTGTAATATTTTTTATTAACTTTATTAACTAGTTATTAATTTTATATCCCTAATGCCCACATTATGTGTGCAGTTGGTGTACATCTCAGCTGCATCTAGCTTAGAAGAAAATAGTTACTTGAGCTTGAAAATCGGTAGGTTTAGCTAGGTTGGGCTAAGTTATAAATGATTATCCCTAAAAGAATTCTTATGACATTTCTAATTGGTTAATTATTGGCTTTATTATTTTAATTATTTTTATAATATTCATATTGAATGTAAATGGTTTATTTTATTATTTTTCATATTTTTTTACTTTTTATTATTACTTTTAACTATCCTATCAATATTAATTATCCTTAAATAGAATTAAATTTTATTTTCATTTTTTTAATTTATGAACTACTAATTTTTATTAGTTTAAGTAATTGTTTTATTAATTATAGTTATTAGGTTTCAAACTATATATAAATTGTTATTGTTGTTGTTGTATGTGTTAAAATATATTGTGTCGTGTATCACACATTATGAGTTTCTAGACGAATTGGAATTGTTTTCGAAAATGAGTCATTTATTTTATATAAGTCTCTTATGTATCATATGCACTATGCACAGTAAAAGGTCTTAACTCATAAAAATTATTAATTTTAATAATATTATTAATTATATAATTAATTAAAAATTCATTAATACAAAATTATCAAATAAAATAAAAAGAATAAATAAAACAAAATACAACGTTAGAACATAAGTTTTGTGTGCAATATATCGAACCCATGTTTAAATCTTAATATTATAAAATTATTAATTAATATTTTTTTGTATTTAAATTTCTTATTTTTATTAGTGTTTATTAAGTTTGATTTTTAAGTGGAATTGAAATGTTTTTGAATTAACATTTGAAGGAAACCAATGATAAATGTATTTTAATTTTTACTAAGTTTTGTTAATAGTTATTATTTTTAAGTGGAAGTTAGTGGATTTTTAAATTAATAATTGTTTAAAATAATATTTTATTTTTGTAGTATGTGCATTATGCATAGTAATTGGTCTCAACTGATAAAAAAATATTAATTATATTAAAATGAATTAATATAAAGTTATCTAATAAAAACTTTAATGAACGCATAATTTTATATATATTTTTATACTATACTAGAATTAAATAAAAACTTTAATTTGAAAAAAAAACGTAGTTTTATAGTTAAGATGGGCAAGCCTGTAGGCCCAGACAAACATTATTACACTTAAGGTGGGAGTTGGGATAGCCCATCATCCTTCATATCTCCTTTGGCTTCAATATTATCTAAAAATAGTTAAAAAAATCCCAAACATAATGCATGCATGGTTGCACTCGGTTTAGTTCAACCCAATTACAAATGTTATGATGTGTGCAACTTAGGTGGTTGGGTTAGGATGAGGATCTATCCAAGCCTAATCTGAAATCTTAAACCTTAAGTTTGGGCTTAGATTAATTTAATCATAACTAAAAAAAATTAATTATAGATTAATTTAATTATGACTATAGCCTAATTTTATATATTTATTGATCTTTAAATATTTTAAGTGTTTAAGTGATATTTACAAAAAATTGAAACATTTAATCATTAATAAAGTAAAATAAATAAAATAGTATACTAACAAATAATATGTAAAAAATAATTATTTTATTAAGTAATTAGCAATAATTTATTATTTTGGTTAAAAACATTAATATAATTAACCCAAATTACTAAATGAGTAAAATATTTTTGTTACAAATTATTAAAATAAAGATTTGATTATTTTAAACAACATTGCATTCTTTCCTTAGTTATAAGTTTTGGTTATTTTTCTTTTCTTGATAAATCTCGTGCATCACATAGGTCCCCACTAGCAAACAAAACAAAATACAACATTAGAACACAAGTTCTTTGTGCAATAAATCATATCCATGATTAAATCATAATATTATTAAAACCATCAATTAATTTTTTTATATTTAAATTTCTTTTTTTAATAGTATTTATTAAGTTTGATTTTTAAATAGAAGTTTTGTTCCATTGATAAATGTATTTTAATTTTTACTCATTTTTGTCAATAGTTATTATTTTAAAGTGGAGCTTTAGTAGATTTTTAAATTAATAGTTTTTTTATTTTTATTCTTTTATAGTTGATTGTTTAACCTCAACCTGTTAAGATTATTTAATTAATTAATATTTTACTTTATTACCTATCCTGAAAGAAGAGGGTTGCTGACATGGACCGTCTTGTTTTATTATATATACTAGCGGAGATTTATCAAGGAAAGTGAAATAACCAAAACTTATAGTTAAGGAAATCATGCAATGCTGTTTAAAATAATTAAATCTTTATTTTAATAATTTGTTACTAATTTTGTAATTTGGATCAATTATATTAACATTTTTAACAAAATAATAAATTATTTCTAATTATTTAATAAAATAATTATTTTTCCATATTATTTGTTAGTTTTCTATTTTTTATTTTAACTATATTAATGATTAAATATTTCATTTTTTGTGAATATCACTTAAATAATTAAAACACTTAAATATTGATAAATATATAAAATTAGGTTATAGTCATAATTCAATTAATCCATAGTTAACATTTTTAGTCATAATTAAATTAACCTAAGCCAAACCCACCCAAGTTGCATGCATCATAGCATTTATAATTGGAYTAGACCAAACCGAGTGCAACCCATGAGGGCATTGTTTTTTGTTTTTAACTAGTTTTAGATAATATTGAAGTCAAAGGTGCTACAAGGGATGGGCTACCTCCATTATATAGTCCAATAAACCAAAAAAATTAATAATCTCGAGCTAAATTTTGATAGTGTATTGGTAGTTTTTAAGGTTGTTTGGCCTAGCCCAAGCCCACACCTTAAGTGTAATAATATTTGTTTGGGCCTATAGGTTTTGATTTTTTTATAAATTAATTTTTTATTTAATTCTTTTTTTGGTAATTAATTTTTTATTTAATTCTAGCCTATTATAAAAAATATATAACATTTCTATATATATTAAATAAAATTTATTATATAATAATATTTATGATATATGCATATAACTTCCAAGTTGAGCTTAAACTTGGGCCCTATCCGCTAGGGCTATCATTGGACTCCAAAAGTTTGATACCCAATTAGACTTCAAATTTGGTTATCCAAAATTTGGATGTTAGAACTTGCATATGATTAATAATTCAATTGAATGTGGATTTAACCCCATCCAATTTGATTAAAATCCATGTTTAATAAAAAATTATTATTTTGTATATATGTAGTATAATTATTGTAATTGTACATATGTGCACTTGTACTTTTAAAATTCAAAATCCAACATAATAATAATAATAATAATAATAATAATAATAATAATAATAATAATAATAATAATAATAATAATAATCAGATGTTGATGCTGATCTAAAAATTTCATAATTGGATGTTGTTGTGGATGTAGCTGGATTTGATTTGAGTCAGATTCGTTTACAACCCTACTACCACATTATGTGTGGGTTTGGTGCATACTTGAGCTAGACCTAACTCAAAAGAAAATAGTTGCTTGAGCCTGGAAATTTATAGATCTAATCGGGTTATGCTAAGTTATAAATGATTTGTTACTTATTATTATTAATTTTATTTATCCCATTAATATTAATTTTTAATAGTTTCTAGGTAAAACTTGATAAAATTTAACATTTTTATTAATTCCCTACTGTCCGCATTATGTGTGGGCTTGGTGAAGATTTGAGCTAGACCTAGCTTAGAAGAAAATATTTGCTTGAGCCCCAAGTTAGGCTAAGTTAATTATATTTAAAAATAATTAAATTGTATTTTAGTTTTTTAATTTATGAACTACTAATTAATTTTTGTCAGTTTCTTATATTTTAACAATTGATAGATAAAAWCTTGCTAAATTTTAATATTTTTATTAACTTTAATAATTCTTATTAATAGTTATTAGGTTTCAAATTTTATATAGATTACTATTATTATTATATATTACTATTATTATTCTATATATTTATTATATACAACATTATTATTATTATTATTATTATTATTATTGTATGTATTGAAATATATTGTATTATGTATCACACGTTATAGGTTTCTACACGAATTAGAAC